CACCCCCATTTGCTAGGTCAGCGCACCCCTGTCTGCTGTCCCTCCCCGCCCTGCCCAATCCCCAAACGCTGGAGGGCACTTGTCACGAAACGGTAAATACCCTCAGACCCTCAGCCACCACAGAGCGGGATCGTGCTCTTAAGTTGTGGTTTTTCCCTGCCCATCACACGGTGCCGGGGCCCCCTCACGCTGCCTCGGCTGACACGGGTTCTGGGGACGCTCAAGTCCAGCCTCCGCAGAGAGAGGCGGGACGCTGGTGAGGAAGGCGCACCGTGGCTTTCCGGTGGAATGCCCGAGATGCCAGCTGTGCTGCCTGAGGTCCGCTCAGTGACGGAGGCCGGTGCAGAAGCCATGCGTTGTGTCGTGTGGCCCCGTTCGCACAAAGGGTCTGCAAGACGCAGACCTGGGCGGACCGCAGGGGTGGGGGCTGCGTGGCTGGAGGGGAGCTGGGAGGGCCCGCGGGGCCCCGGGCGCTCTCTGGGCCGGTGGACGGGGGCACGGGGAATGGTGCTTTTGTAGCGTTGGCCACGTGTGTGGCCTCCTCACACGTGGCGTGGCTCTTTGCTCGTGGGCTCCGTGTTGCCTCCTTCATCCAAGAGCATGTCTCCAGGGCCTCCTGTGCGTAGCTCTGCACGCCGCATCCGCGTTGGGCGCTCCTGACCGTCTGCGCATTGCTGTTCCCACCCCCGTTTATATGGAAGGACCCTGAGGCTGGGAGAGGGCCCCGTCCAGAACTTTGTAGCCCCAGGGAGGAGCCTTGGCTAGATCGCAGCCCTGGTCTTTCTGGGGCCAGAGTCTGTGGTGTCGCCGGTGTGCACCCTGGAGGCCAGGGATCAGAGCTTGAATCCCTTGGGGGTCAGAGGGATCACTTCTAGCCTAACGTGTCCTTCCTTGTGTCCACCCACCTGCCCGTGTAAGAACCCAGCACACGCTGAGCACCTACTCTGTGCCCCTGGGAGAAGGACACAAGTGGGGTCCCCTCTGAGGTGCTCGTGGTCCCCTGGTAGCACACGTGGCCGGAGGGGCTGCAGGGGCTGCTGTCCCCGCAAAAGAAAGGCCGTGCCCTCACATGGGCTGCCGCTGGATCTCACGGACCAGAGAGCCGGAGGCGTTTTCTCAGTGCCTGGGCTCTTAGCTCTGTCCCGAGGTGCGCGTGTGGGGCCCCTCGCAAGGGCCTGAGCCGGACGCTCAGAGAGGGCTCCGCAGACCCGCACCTGCTGGCATCGCTGAGGGTGAACAGCCTGCCTGCGCGGCCACAGCTGGTCCTCCGCGGGCTCGCGTGGGGGCGCAGGGTGGTGGTGGTGGGGGGGGTGGGCACCAAGCCCAGGGGCCGAGTTCAGGTTGGAGGTGCCCAGGGTCCCCGTCGGTGTCCCGTCCTGGGGTGAGGGCACAGGGCGCCGGTGTGACTTTGTCTGTGCCGGTGCTGCGTGGAGGGAGGGGAGGGGAGGGGCTCCTGGCGGCCTGTGGAGCTCACACGACCCCGGCAGGCAGCCTTCAGGGCTTGCTCGTCCTTCCCTGCTCTGGAAGTATGCTCGAGCGCCACTTTTCTGCCAGGCGTCCTTCTGGGCACCAGGGCGCACCGGCAGACACGCCAAGTCCTGTTCGGTGCAGGGGTGAGGCCGTGCGTGCTGCCAAGCTCAGTGGTGAGGGGGACGGTCCGACACTGGGGGTGTCAGCTGCAGCCTTGCGTGTGGCTGGGTGCAGGGCTCTGAGTCAGTGGCCTGGCTCTGTGGCCTGGCCCCACCACCCGTGTGGCCTTGAACCGGCCCCGTGGAACTCGGACTGAGGTCTCCTGAGCCCTCAGGTAGCGAGATGTTGTGCGGACCAGACACGCGTGTGGTATCGGCCCAGTGCCTGGCTCCGCGGCGGGTGCCGAGGGTGTCGTGCGTGGGATCGCGGGGGGAGGCGTCTGCGGGGACGCAGGCTGAGCCTGTGGAGCCCGTGCTGGTGTCTGAGATGGCACGAGACGGCATGGGGCGAAGTGGATGGGGCCGAGCCCCGTTCCCAGGGCAGAGGCCTGACGGCAGTGTGGGGCCGGGTGGGGGCTGGGGGCACGGTGCGGCCTGCGCCCTGAGGGATGGGGGGCCGAGGAGCGTGAGGAATGAGCGGCTGGAGGAGGCCACGGGGCAGGACAGGGCCTCGGCTGCCTGTTGAGGCCATACTCCCTCTTTGCAGCAGGAGCATCTCCAGCTGGACCGCCTCAGAACTCAGCTGTCGGATGCCATTCAGCGCTACGGCGCAGTGCAGAAGGTGAGGCACTCCTGGCGGGGTCGGCCGGCCAGGTGTGGGTGGGTCTCGGTCCCTCGGGCACCCGCTCAGGCACTCTTGTCCCCGGGCTGGCCTGGTGTGGTTCTGGCCCCCAGAGCAGAGGGCTGGGCCGGAGCCACAGGCTCCCAGTGTGTGCAATGGAGGAACCTTACCGTCTGGTGCCCAGGAGGCATCAGCAGAGCCCTGCCGGGAGGTGGGACAGGAGACCCTCGTCCTGACGGAAGGACACGGAGACCCGGAGCTTAAGAGTGTGGGAGGGGGCCGCCCCCTGGGTTGTCGGCAGAGCCCGGCCAGGTGCCCGGCCGAGCACCCGGCTTTCCTGAGACCTGGACGTCTCCCTCTGGCCGCGGAGCTGACGGTGTGCGTTGCTGTCGGTGACCGTCCCGTACTGCGTGCTCAGCTGACCATCTCTTCTCTCCTCCCCACCCTTCTGTTCCTCCCGTCTCCCTCTATTATTTAACAGAAAATTGCAGAAAAGTCCAGAGCCCTGCTTCCCGCTGCGCAGAGGGGCGGCACGCAGCAGGTGAGTGCTGAGGGACCGCCACGGTCGGGGGGGCATTAGGTGACGGCACAGAGTCCACTCACTGCCCTCGGTGCTTGGGGAGGCGCAGGGGGCGCCGAGGGAAGAGGCCCCATCTGGGGGAGGGGGATCTGAGTTGATGAAGGACCTTTTAGAAAGCCGGTATTCTGGCCTCAGTCCTCTGGCGCAGGCTTGAGACGGGGTACTGGGGGCTGACCGTCTGCTTGCCTTCAGGACGGGCTTGTTCCCGCCAGCCCTCCCGGGGGGAGAAACGGGTAGAAACTGGAGTCCTACACGAACAGGGCAGGGAGTGGACGGGAACCGCGTCTGAAGGTGCAGTGGCTGAGACTTCTCCAAAAGTGTCCAAATATTTCAAGCCACGGGTTGAAGAGCCTCCGTCATACACAGGATAAATTTACCCTGTTCCTTAAAAACCACCCTTACTCGTATCATAATAAGATTTTGAAAACCTAAGACAAAGATAAAATCCTAACAGCAGATTAAAACCTGAGGAAAGAAGTCATGTCATTTTATTTTTTAATGTTTGTTTATTTGTTTACTTATTTTTAATGTTTATTTATTTTTGAGATAGAGACAGAGCATGAACGGGGGAGGGTCAGAGAGAGAGGGAGACACAGAGTCTGAAACAGGCTCCAGGCTCTGAGCTGTCAGCACAGAGCCCGACGCGGGGCTCGAACTCACGAGCCGCGAGATCACGACCTGAGCTGAAGCTGGATGCTCAACCGACTGAGTCACCGAGGCGCCCCAGTGTTTATTTATTTTTGAGAGAGATAGAAACCGAGTACAAATGAGGGAGGGGCAGAGAGAGAGGGAGACACAGAGTCTGAAACGGGCTCCAGGCTCTGAGCTGTCAGCACAGAGCCCGACGCAGGGCTTGAACCCACAAACCGCGAGATCACGACCTGAGCCGAAGTCAGACGCTTAACTGACTGAGCCACCGTGGCGCCCCAGTGTTTATTTATTTTTGAGAGAGATAGAAACCGAGTACAAGTGAGGGAGGGGCAGAGAGACAGGGAGACACAGAATCCGAAGCAGGCTGCAGGCTCTGAGCTGTTGGCACAGAGCCCGACGCGGGGCTCAAACTCACGAGCCGCGAGATCATGACCCGAACTGAAGCTGGACGCTCAACCGACTGAGACACCCAGGCGCCCCAGAAGTGATGTTATTTTTAAAGGAGCGACAAGACTCACACCCGACTCTACGGTAAATCAGTAGAAGCCAGAGGACAACGGGCAGAAAGCAATCGCTCATGTGGAAGTTTGCATTTGGTGAAGGTAGTTTTCAGAAATGAAGGTTGAATGAAAACATTTTTAGAGAAACACAAACCGAGGGCATTTATCGTCAACAGAACTCTGACGGTAGCAGAGGGAAAGTGGTCCCAGGCGGACGTGCGGCAGCAGGAAGGGACGGTGCGTCCTGGGAACGCTGACGTGAGGACACGTGTGAGGCAGTGCGGCTGGTGAATAGTGGCCCCGGCCGTGGGGTCTGGCTGTGGGGCAGGGGGAAGTGCTCGGCCGGCAGCACAGGAGGAGGAGTAGCTGCGAGAGAGCGTGCGACGTCCCCGTCCTCTGAGGAGTGATGAGAACCCTGATCTGAGGCGGCTGCCTGTTGCGTTAGGCAGGTGACACTAAAGGACAACATAAGAATATGAATTGTAAGATAAGGAGCATATGAAATAACGAAGGGTTAATTTAAAAGAAAACACGGGTGTCTGAGTGGCTCGGTGAGTTAAGTGGCCTTCTTTTGGTTTTGACTCAGGTCCGTGATCTCACGGTTTGTGAGTTCAAGCCCTGCATCAGGCTCTACACTGACAGCCCAGAGTCTGCTTGGGATTCCCTCTCCCTCTCTTTCTGTCTGTATCTGTCTCATGTCCTCTCTCTCTCTCTCTCTCTCTCTCTCTCTCTCAAAAATTTGGAAAGAAAGCAAAAAAAGAAAAAAAACAAAAAACAGGAAGGAAAGTAGGAAACAAGTTGTAAGGTGGTGGATTTATACCAAATTCACTTATGAATTAGGAGAATGGCCTAACCCCTCTGCTGAAAAGGCACACATTGGCAGATTTGGGTAAAAGAAAAAACCAGCACTTGTAAGCAACACACTTTAAATCCAGGAGAATGTTGAAACTAAAAGGATGGTCAGAGACAAACTATGAAACCAAAGAAGACTTGTGTCCGGTGCTGATATCTGAACGAGCGAGTCCGTGTGAAGAAATGTCGCTGCCGACAGAGGTGTGCTTCACGGGGATGACACGGTAACTCAGATGTAAGATGTAATTCTGTATAGGCGCCTAATAACATAGCCTCAAAATACACAAGACAGAACTGATAGTAATAAAAGGAAAAATGGTAAATCCACAATCGTAGTTGGAAGTGTTAACCCAGCCGTCCAAATGACTGATGAGGTGAACAGAGAAAAGTTCAGTGAGGATCTAAAAGACTCGTCACAGTTAAGGAATACACTTCCGCCCAAGTGGACATGTCACTGCAGCCAGCCACAGGGGAGCGAGCATTCTCTGCAGGTGCACAGCACACGCTGAGTCCAGTCTCGACGGATTCCAGAGGGTTGGTGTGACCCTGAGGACACTCAGACTGGCTCAATTAAACTCACATTTGGTAACAAAAAGGAAATTGCCACGCTTGAGAAGTGAAAGAATACAGTTTGAAGGAACCCATGAATCAGAGAAGAAGTCACAGCAGAAATTAGAAACCATCGTGAACAAAAATGAGAATGGCTCCAAGTTAAGACCTGTGGGTGCAGCCAGGGCAGCTCCCAGAGGGAAACTCACAGCTTTAAATTCTTCCACTAGGAAAGAAGGAAGGATGAAAAATCACAGCTCTGATTCTCAATCTCAAGAAGCTAGAAAAGCAACAATAAATTAAATCCTAAGAAAATATATAGGAAAAGAAACCCAGAAATCAATGGAGTGTAAAATAGATACATAATAGACAAATTCAACAAAGCCAAAATTTGACTTTTTAGAAGGATTAATGAAAATAATGAACTCCTACAAGATTAATCACAATACAGAGAGAAAATACAAGTTACTAGTATCATGAATGACAATGGCTATAGCACGGATCCTACCAATCAGAAACAGCAGAGGTATGAAGATACTATGATACAACTTTATGCCGATAAATTTGACAACTTAGGTAAAATATAAATTGTTTTAGGAAAATGTAAGTTACCAAGACATACGGAGTCTGAAAAGTCCGGTGTTTATTAAAAAAAATGAAATCAATAACTAAATAATTTCCATAGTTAAAATCCCACCAAGAAAACCGTAGACCTAGATGGTTTTATTGGTGAATTCTTCCAGTGTTTGAGGAGTAAATATTACCAGTTTATACAAACTCTTAAGTATCTTAAATATCAAGAGGGAACACCTCCCACCTGGCCTTAGGAGGCCACCAGACCTTGATTCCAAATTCTTCCAAGGATATCACAAAAAGGAAAGTAACATGTTCTCTCGTGAGCACAGGAGCAAAAGCCCTAGCCAAATCACGAATAGACCGAATCTAGCAATATGTGATGGGGCAGTACATCATTATAAAGTGGGTTTAGTCTGGGAATGCAAGGTTAGCTGACATCCAGAAATAACCTGTGTCAGCTGCCATATTAATGGAGTAAGTAAGAAAATTTACTTGATAGTCTCAGTAGGGAAGATCACTTGGTGAACTTCAGCACCCATTTAGGGTGAGGAGAGAGACTCGGCAGACGGGTAGGTAGGAATGCCTTTAATCTGATGATGGGTGTCTTCAAAACCCCACAGTTAGCATCACACCTACTGGGGAGATGTTCAGATCTTTCCTCCTGCGACTGCGGACAAGACACTGTGTCTAGTCGTATCACCTCTACTCCCCGCTGCGCTGGAGGGCGTGTCCAGTGCACTAAGACATGAAAAATAAATGAAAAGTAGAAGAATTGGGGCGGAGGAAAGCACTTCAGAGACATGACTGCATTACTAGGAAAGGTGATCGGATCTGCAGATAAACTTAGAATTAGTAAGTGGGTGTAACAGGGTCAGTAGACAAGAAAACATCGTGCTAGCAAAAGACAGCTTGAAAGTGAAATTTAAATGCCACTTGTATTAACATCAAAACTGAAAGAGGCCTTTGAGTGGCTGTTTGAACAAGAGTCCCGCCATGCAGTAGGGAATGGAAGGTCCGTTCAGGGCTTGACGCCGGACCGGCTGGGGGGTTGAACTGGGAAAAAGGATCCTGTTGAGCAGATGGCCAGTCCAAGTGCAGACACCCCAGCCCCTGCATCCCAGTGTCGGGGTCGCCAGGGAAACGGTGCAGTCAGTTACCGATAGAACAGTGCTGTGCTCACACAGAGACTAGCTGGCAAGGCCAGCTCCTGCGGTGGGCATGTCCTCCGTGGCCAGTGGGGCCCTCCCGGTGATGAGGCGGGGTCGTTGGCTTGCACGCATCCCTCTTGTGCTGCAGCGACAGGCCCCTGTCCACCCCGCCCCCGCCCCCCACCCGCAGTGGGCTTGGCTGAGTGCCACGTGATGCAGGTGCTTTGGCCGAACAAAGGAGGACGAGTTGAGTCTTAAACAGGGAAGGACGTTGTCGTCCAAGGCGCCAAGCCTGGCACAGCTGTGAAGGCTCTGTCTCTTGGTGAGAAAGTGCCCCAGGCCACGGCCCATTCTTACGTGGCCGAGAGGGGCCGGGAGCCCGCGTGCACGCGACTGCCATTGCCAGCATATCCTTTACCGTAACCCACCCCGTGCACAAAGAGCACTTCAGCTGGATCACAGACATACATGTGAAGGATAAAGCAACGAAGCTTCTAGAAGATACCATAGGGGTCTATCTTCACATCTTTATGGTGAGCTAACGTTTCTTACACAGATGAAAATGTACTAAGTATAAAGAAGAGACTTTGTTAGATTAATGCACCCTGAAGAGAGTGAAGAAGGCATTAAAGAAGGTGTTTACATAACGTGTATCTGAAAAGGACTTATGTCCGTAACATGTAAA